TGTCTTGGGCCTTACCAAATTTATTACCATATTATACCTCCTAACTCCAATGATCTGAATTTTCACATCTACCTGAATTTTTTCAGAACTTTCTCAAATAGTTGCTATCCCATTACCAGGTACTTTTCCCTAAATCTATAGAATATTGGGTTTAATCCTAACCATGAAAAAAATGTTGCTTCTTGAGGAGAAGAAATAACATGAGTTATGAGGCACTTTTCCAAAGTTAGGCTACATTTAGTACATTATGACTCCTATACAGGACAGCGGTAAAACAAAATAAAACATAAAGCCTCTAACCCACAATTCTCCACCCTCTGCATGCACATACGTGCACATAAACATACACACCCTCCATCAAGAAGTGCTACAGACCTTCTTGTGCAAAGACTTCTAAATCTTATAGCCCATGGGATCTAAATTATTCCTTAAGAGTTAGCCTCAACTATTATTTACTCCACTTGGGAACTTATTTCTAATCCTAACATTCTCTCAAACTAAATAATCATTTATCTCTTACAATACATAGAACTGTGGTACAGAAGAGTCTCAGGATCTCTTCAGCACCCTCAACACTCCTCGAATCATGTTTGCTACACTAGTTTTTTAACCTTTTTTCAACAATGAGATGGGGAGAACACCATTCTCAGAGGATCAAAGGCTCAATCACTAACTTCACAATTTCTTTTTCTTTTTAATTTACTTACTCATGTACTTCCTGTCTACTTCCCAAATAAAGCTGAAGTAGTTCATCTCCACAGCCAACACCAGCCTCATGGAATTATCATATCACAACCTTCGACCTCATCTCACATAAATTCTCCTCAAGTGATATTGTGCCCTGAACAGTTAGACACCAAAATCCAGTGAGCACAGTAAAATACTTGAATTCATAACCACACACACGGTTCACATCCTTCCTTTTCCCAAAATTTTCTCATCACTTAGGAACTCCTCAGATCTTAAAGCTATGCACGCTTTCAGAAGTGAGATGCTAGAATTGACCCATTTACTCTGCAGTCCCATAGCCAAACTTTCCAAGACAGAAAGTGAAAAATAGAGCAAAAACACAGCTACATAGCCTTCCCTGGATGTGTAACAGCAAAAAAGAGGTTCTGACCCTTTTTGAATTACCATTCATGCACAGCAAGCAAAAGGCAGGTAATTTGAAACTTTTGTTTTAATATCATTGTCAACCTCCTTTCTCACCCAATCATCTTTTCAGACTGCTAAAAAATAGCAATATATTAAACTAGAAGGGACCAGGAAAGAGTAAAACATACTGGCTGGAGGACAGCGTGGTGGCATCAGAATCAGACTGCTATCACACTGAAAGAACTATTAATGAGAATCACTCACCAATACTCACCTCATGGTGGGGTTACTGAAAAGGCTGACACCAGGCAGGAAAGGGGAGCAGGAAAAGTGGACTAATCTCCCTCACTGTTTACCTCTTGCACTCCCCTTACCACTCCTGCTTAAGCAGCAGCCTCCCACGCAAGCTTCTGTGCCTGCTTCCAAGTGTCTACCATCAGCCCACTCACCCTAAACTCAGAGATCACCATTTCCAAGACATGGAAGGATTTTTTTGAGATCTTTTCCAGCATTTCCCAAACAGGATTAGAGATTACAATGCTGAGAATAAAAGTGACCCGTGGTCAAATAAGTTTAGGAAATAAGGCACATCATGTTGCCTTCTCTGATATTCAAAATTCATAACCACATAATGAAGTTTTTTCATTCTGGCAGAACAAGTCATCCATTTAATTTTGTCTAGCCCATCAAGTTGCAAAAACTATCTGAGGGTGGATCACTCTGTTTTGGTCTGGAACACAATGTATGAACATCCTGCAAAGCTATGTTCCCTTCCAGCTTGAGAACCTTTGCTGTAAACTAGTCTAAACTTCTGGTATGGATGAAGAAAACGATGCTTTTAGAGAGTAACTTCCCAAGGTCACACAACTTGTTAGAATGGCTAAGCCTGTAATGTAGGTCTCCTGACCCCCTGACAAGCACTCTTTACTTTTGTAATCACTTCTACCAGTCCTTCCTTGCCCCAAGTCCTAACCACACAGCATATTCTCACTGGTATTGTTTCTGTGCCTTCATTATTCCTCTCCCTGTCCCCCACTACCTTCCCTACTTATCCAAATCACTTCATTCTTCTAGGCCCCATCTTCTCCACGAAGCCTTTTCAAACACTTCAGCCTATTTCACGACCCTGTCTCTGAAATCCCAACGCACTTAGTTGATATCAGGCATTCAAGTGCCTCTTTCAAAATCACTGTATCGGTGCTGGACTTAACTTATCAACTAAACTACATACTTCTTCAAGATGCTACATATATTTAGGTTCCTCTGTACTCTCAGTCCCTTGTACATATTAAGCACCCCGTACATATTTGATGACTAATATAAGGAACATGATTAACATTGTTTATAGACAACTCAGTAAGTGAGATTTGATTGGGATAAAGTATTAGAGCCCATGAACATGGCATGTTATAAGTATATCAACTTCTTTTTTTTTTTTTGTCTTTTGTCTTTTTCCGTGTCCAGCAACGGATCGCAACCCTCAGTGTTGCCCCCGTACCGGACTGGGGACCGGCAACGGGATCGCAACCCTCGGTGTTGCTCCCGCGCCTCGCTCAGCCAGTGAGCGGGAACCGGTCTGCATGCGGGATCCGAACCCT